AATGTCAGTGTGTCACACCTTTTCAACTTTAATACTAGAGGCTGTAGCCCAACATATACCATTTCGGAATCAGGTGAACTCCATCAGCAAATTAAAACATTTCAGGCTAGATCTGCAATTTTGGATTCCCAAGTTTTCATTACTGCGATTATTTTCAGCAATTTTTTTTTTTTTTTTTTACATGATTTTTTTGCAACAAAGTTTTTTATACAACAACAATTTTTATAACTTAGAAATAAATCTGGGAATAAACAAAATTGCGAAATCCAGCAAAAGCCACCCACAAAATAAAATAGTTGTTTGTACAGAAAGTAAAGACCTACGTACATCAAAATGTCTTTAATTGGTGGCAGAAGAAATATCATTGAACTTTTAAAAGGTAAACTTAAATATTAATGCAATACTTAAATACAGTGATCAATTTTGAGTTCTTCTGTAGTTTATTGTTGCCTATCACATCTACTCCTCCCGATCTACTATGATGAAGGTTCAATCAAGAGCCCGCCATAGGAGCTAGATTAAATGCCAACTGATAGGGTGATATTTCAGCTAGTAGACAATATATATATATATATATATATATATAATGATTGTAAATATTTATGTATCTCCAGTGAAAAAAGACATTTATGCAAAGAATTCCTGCTGAATGTACTTTGAAATATCTGTGTACTCAATTCATTCATGAATTACTTTCATTGGAACACAAAATTTTCTGAAATTACTAAAACTCTTCACGTCAGCTAAAATATGCTGATGTAAGCAGTTATGAAACAAAGTGTGTTCACTATATTCACAAATACCTTTAGAATAATGTAAGAATATTCTTTCATGACAGTCTATTTTTGGTAGCATATCTGGAGTTTGACATCAATACTTCAAGCAGAAAAGAAGCAATATCAATTGAACAATGTGTGTAAATTTATAAGCTTCCATTTTTCTCTTCCTCGTCTTGGAAAGAGTTAAATTTATGTGTACATTTTTCTACACCTGTAGTCATACTGAAGGCAGGTGTGTGTGTAGGTAGCCTAACAGATATTGGTAAGTGGGTGAAATAGGGGAGATAATTTTTGAGTTCTGGCCTAGTCTGTTGCATTCACTTTCACACAAATGCTCTTTAAAAAAAAAAAAAAAAAGGTATGAATCCATCTCCTGTCCCTCTGTCACCAGGTTAAATAGTAAGATAGACTGAGTATGATTTTAGCCCTGGATGACAGTCAGTCTAGAAAGAAGACTTCTGTGAATTCCAAGCTGTGGAAACCACTATTATCCATCCCAAGTCATTCACAGATAATAAAGAGAAGGTATTTATAAGGAGTGGTGATAATCTGTGTACTGATGGGACATTGCAGAAAATTCTTTACAAGTATTACAGATATAATTATTTTTCTCTGTTCATTACATATGAATCTGAAAGCCTTTTAATATTTCTTCATTGCATTGTAAGAAAACAATCTTCATTGACACTTGCTCACATCCATATCATGTTGAAACAAGTTACAATATGATCACTGAAATTAAGCAACATCAAACCTGGTCTGTACTAGATGGGTAACTGCTTGGAAATACCTGGTGCTGTATGCTTAGATGTAACGGTGGTGTAATGAATAATGTCTTTGAATTGTTAATTTTAGAGACATATTTCAATTCCAGTTGGGTTTGTTGTCTTCATTTATGCTCAAAGACCTTGGAAAATGTATGAATTCACCTCTTCTCCCCCAATTATGGGTTAATTAGTAAGATTCTTATCACTAAATCATTATGGTCTCTCATATTTTCTGGCTATAAACAACTTGCAAAGAGTTGATAAACTCTAGAAAATGAATGAATTAATTTTTTCAGAGCCATGTATGGCTGCAGCCTGAAGTGACAGCCCATAAAAGAACAACAATGTTTTATGATAGTTCCACTACTTTCAATATCAAACATTGGCAAATAGAGTTACCATCCATAGACAATCAATTGAAATATGGAATCTCAATTAGAACATTTGTGAATTTTATGAAAAACAAAAATTCTCAACTTAAACAATTATTAACTGGTGAAAAAAAAAAAAAAACTTTCAGACCGTTCTAAAATATTTAGGAATAGACACTCCAATACAGAAGAAAAAAAAAACACATTGGAAAGTTACCAAGCCAGTAATCATAGAAATATGACGGAAATAACTGAATAGTCATTTTTAACATTTTTACAATACCAGCTACAAATCTTGGTATATAAATTTCATATATAATTTTTTTTTTTTTAAGCATTTCACCCCAAGCAAGGTGGGAGTGCTACTAGCACACAAGAGATTACAGAGAGAGAGAGCGAGAGAGCAAGAGTAAAGAGATGTGATTCAGGAAAGGATGAAGAAGGACAGGGAACAAGATCAGGGCATCAGAAGATGTCAATTGACATTACATTTGAATAGTTGATGATTATAGCTATCAGGAAGTAAGTAGGAGGAAGGGAGTTCCACTGTTGGGAAGTGCGAGAGAAGATGTCATTCGAGTAGAAGCAGCGGTTACATATAACCATTTTGACAGTGAAAGGGTGGGACCGAGGTGTCAACCTAGCATACTTAAATTCATGCAGTTGGGGTACCAGTGAAAGTAGCTTGTCAGAGCAGTTGCCATGAAAATATTTGTAGAAGAGATAGAGGGAAGCCACAGCATGTCTGTGAGAAAGTGACTGGAGTTGAGATGCCAGGTCAGTACCTATCACATTGCATATCCATCTCTGGATTTTGTTGAGGACCTTGAGATGAACAGTGGGGGCACCAGACCATATATGAGAACAGTATTCAATGAAAGGACGAAATCAAGAAATATCTTTAAAATTTCAAACATTTTCTAAGGTCAGTTCTGAGAAATACCTTTTCACAGAGATTCTAACAATTCATAAATATATTGCTATACATGTCTGTATGCACCAATTGCCTATTAATGACATTTGAAAACTCTTGTATATTTGGAAAAAAAAAATTAGCCATAGCTGCTTTAGGTTTACATTTAGTTGCCATTTTAAGTAATTTTCCTCCAATTTCCAAAAGATTCCTTGAGTGTATTTCTTTTTTTCTTTCAGTGGTTAGTAAATAAAACTATTAAAAAATGTACAGGGTCAGTAAATTCACTTTCAAATAATTTAAAAAAGATGGCATGTATATTCAAGCAGAAGGAATATGTTTAAGGTTTAATGCAAAACATAATATTTTAATAAAAATAAATAGGATTCGCTTTTTTCAAAAAGCTCATAATGTCAAGAAAATAAGAGGTATATGTTTCTTCAGCTGTGGGCCAAGTGTAATTCTATAACGAATGAAGCAAAAGCAATAATAATTTTCTATGAACCTAGAAAGAAAGATGAATTTAAAATATTTGTAATATACAATATCAATCATTATCGCCTGTCTTCTTAATTCTTTTGTTGTTCTCTCTCTTTGTGTTTTTTTTTTCTCATTCTCTGACTTTCAGTAACCCCATGCATCTTAGTAGCTTTATATCCTTGCTTGGGGGAGAAATGTTAAAAATATATATATATATTTAAATTATTAATGTATGTAATAGGGTTTATGAAACAACTTCCCTTATTTTCAAAATTAACATCATCCAGCAAGGATGGATCAAGAATATCTTACGTCTTATCAATATACTTGATTGTAACTTAGTATAATACAGTCATTTATAACATTTAGTATATTCTTTAAACAATTATAGTAATTAAACCAATTTTTAATACATCTTTTTTTAAATACTAAAGTTCACACAAGACTTGAGAGCCATTTGAGGAAGAGGGCTACTGAAAAAGATGGGTGATATGAATTCAAGACGTCATCATAGGAAATGAGGATAAGGAGGATAGATAATGATTGACCTTTCACTTAAAGAGGTTAAATTACATTAATATTTCAAGAATTAAACAATGTAGAGATCTGTGGAGTTCTTGATGAAACATGGCACATGTTTAGCAGTTTTGTTCTAAAATATACAACACATTTTTTTTTTAATTTTTTCACTGCAAGATAATGCCACTAGGGACATACAGGGAATGAAAGAGAATGAGAAGACTGAGGTTTGAGAAAAGCATAAAAAAGGAACAGGATTCAAGGTGACAGCAGATGGTGATTCAGATTGCATTTAAATTTTTGAAGACTGTAGCTATCAGGGAAGCAATTGGAAGGGAGTTTCACAGATGAGAAACATGAGAAAAGAACATGTTAGTAGAATTGGCCATTGTTTTTAGCTAGTTCAATAGTAAAACAGTGAGACCTAGTTACCAACTGTAATTACAATTACAGATGCTTCTTTGAAATTTGTCAAGAATCTCAAGATATACAGCAGGAGCACCATACCAGACATTGCAGCAGTATTCAGTGCGCAGATAAATGGTAGATTTATAAATGTGCAAGATGGGTTCAGGCAAGAAACATTTTCTGGCACCACACAGTGAACCAACTTCCTTAACAGCAGACGTAGAAATTGATTTGATATAGTCACTCCACTTCATGTCGGTGGAAAGCGTGGGGCCAAGAAGGTGCATAGTCATGCTGATGGCAAGCAGAAAAGGTTACAGTGAAATCAATATGAGAACCCATCAGCATATATATGTGTGTGTGTGTGTGTGTGTGTGTGTGTAAGGGAAAATCTATGACAAAGTGGAAGAAGTAAACGTGAATTATTTAAGTGATAAAAATATAAACAAAAAGAAACTAAATGAAAAAAATTAAATTTTAAGTTTCACTATCTCCTCCCCTTTATGCGCATGCAGAGTCAAATCAATGTAAACAACATTTTTTGCATTTGTTCATAAATACTTGTTACAAAATAATATCCTTACATTGGCCTTGAGAAAGTCCATCAGAGGACAAAACTCATCAGCTATGTTTTCATTTTGTGTATATTTTATATATATATATATATATATATATATATATACACACACACACACACACTAGAATATATTATATATTTAACTACATCTTCTAATCTAAAGTGTATTTCAATTTTTATTTCCAGGCAGAAATTCAAACTAAGCTTTGCAAAACCGACTGTAAAGAGTATGTCTGGAGGCATGATGGATGGTCATCTTGTGTTTATCGATCTCCTAAAACCTGTGGGCGGGGCATACAGACAAGACAAGTCATGTGAGTTATATGATTTTTATAAGCTCATTGATTGTTTTTGAAATTCTATATGCTGGATATAAAGTCCTTAAACTCCAAACATTTCCTTTCAGTTTTTTTTTAATTATAGCTCATCAACTAAATGATAATTTCAACTTGATGTTAACAGAAGAAAAAAAAAAAGAAATTGTTCATTTGTTTCTAATGAGTAAAATCCTTTTTATTTTATTTTTTTACATGAAATTGTAATTGTTTTAGTCTCAAATTTTCTTTGAGATTTGAAAAAACTATCGTCAAAATTAAACAATTCTTTTTAAATATACACTTATTATTTTAGGTGTGAGATTGTGTTTTGATTTTGTTAATTATTTAATTAGCCATCAAAATCTCTCCTCCAGCTATGGGTTAAATAACAGAGGAGACCAAGCTCTCTTGCTTTGGTTGGCAACCTATCTAGCAAGAGGAAAACACTCAATTCAAAACTGTAGAAAAGGCTAAAAGAAAAAACCACTACCTTTCCTACGAAAAGTTATAGTAATTCACAGATATTTAAGAGACAAAAGTGAAGAACTATGTCCTGAAGAGATAAGGCATGAGAGAAGAAAATATTTTGCCAGAATCTTTGACTGCAATCATTTCATATTCATTTAACTGTTAATATTAAACAATCATAATATTAGCCATTTCTTTATGAGGCAATATTCAGTACTCATTGACCAAACAGCTAGCGCTACATTTTCCTTTTTAATTATTTCATCCCAAGCAAAGCAGTAAAGTCACACAGACATAAATAAATAGGTAAAATAGCAAGGGCATCAGACCAAATGTGTCAGCAATATTCTAAGCATGGATGAATGGTCGGCTTATAGATATGTAAGATAGATTCTGGAGAAAAAATTGTCTTGCACAACATACTGAACTGCTTTTCTTAGCAGCTGACCTAGCAATGGATTAAATGTAGTCTTTCCACTAAATGTCAGCTGAGAATGTTAGCCCAGGAAGGCACAATGAGGTACTTTCCTGGAGGTTAGCATCAGCCATGCTGATGGAAGGCAAAGAAGGCTTTCTCAGATGATTAACAGAGAGCAGTTTAGTTTTGCGGCATTAAAGGTAACAAGCCATCCTTTGCCCTAATTAACAACAGATTGAAGGTCGTTTTTGAATTTCAGCTGCTGTTTTGACCTTATGAAACTCATCAGACTTTATTATGTAATTGCTCTTATATTGAAGTGAATTTTTATAATATAAAGTGCACCTCAAGAGGAAGAATCCAGGTAGAACTCAATGTCTAGGACAGAGTAAGGATATAATAAAAAGGCTTAAACACTAATATTCCATGGTCATAATTTATTCCATTGGAATCATAAATGCGATCCAAATCATCAGACCTACAAATTCAAAATGAAAACAGAAAAAACAACTCCGAAAATCAAAACAGAATTTAGAGAAAGTGTAAGTATGAGGAGGAGGGAGATGAAACCTTAACAGAGAGAATTTTAGGAGATGTGGGGGGGGGTAAAAAGAGGAGAGAAAGAAAGTCAACGGATGTCTAATGCATAAAGATACATTTCGTGGTGACATATACACACCATAGACAATTAGAAGTTAGGATATGAGGTAGGGGGGAAAAAAAAGAAAAGAAAGAAGAGGTGGGGGAGAGAGATGGACGAAGGAAAATAAAATTGTGTTTACTTAAAGGGCCGCTTTGTAATTGAGAAAATTTGACAAATTAATATCGACTACAGGTTAGAAATCAAATATAAATATATGAAGATGAATATAACGATTGTCTAATCTAGCAAGGACCAAATATTTCTATGTTCAAAAACACATACTAATACACACATAAACATATACAAGTAGGTACATACACTTAGGCATGTACTCACACACACCCAGACATACGTGTACACACATATATATATATGTATATAAAAACCTAAAAATATATTCACATATCCACACATACACATAAAAATCTGACACAAAATCTCCAAGTCTTCATGCTGTGAAGTGATCAGACAGCTGAACTTTGCATGAAACCACGGTTATATTATTATATTGTACTCTTGCTCTATTCTAGGTCATTTTTCTTAATGAAATATTTTTTTTTAGCACTTTGTATTTTATTAAGTTGACATATGTTCTTTAATGGTTCTGATTTTTTCCTCTTTTTTTCCTCTGGATCTTTTGTTTTCAAAGTTTCAGTAATTCTGTTTATAGTTATATGCATAATGGCTGACTACTTGTTTCTTAACACACCCATCTGTTCAAGTCGCTAGCCAATCCCTGTTGCAGATAACTGCTCAGACATATTTGTTCAAAACTCCCCAGAGCCCATCTGCAGTTTATACTACAATCTAGGAGAGGGCACATAATTTAGCATATATCAATCGTTTGAACAAAGTAGATTCAAAACCTCAGTAAATTTATGCTAGCAATGGCTTCTGAACATTGCGGTCTCCCCAATTTCACTCACAAGTCTTTGGATCAACAGGTGGTTTTCAGTGACTTTCCAAAGGTGTCACATGCTGGAATCCCCTGTCCTGGCTGATAACATCAAGACGTCACCTCCTTGAAAAATCCACCAGGGTGAGATTCAAACCTGTTTCATATAGTTGGAAAGCAAACATTTTAACCACTTGGACACATTCATCTCAGAAAGTGAATACTCTGATTGCCTGAAGATTGCATTACTGTGGTCCAAATTTTGTCATTTTTTTTCTTTTTTTTTTTTTACTGTTTAGGTACGTATCTGGCTCTTGTTTTTTTTTCTTAATTCATTTCTTTTTCCTTCCATCATTTTTATTTCTCGATTTTTGGTTTATTCATTGTTAGATTTTTTTTTTATTAAATTCCTTTTTGGTCACCTGGCAGGATTTCTGTTGATTGCACTCTTTGGACTTTTATTTACACACATTTTATATATATATATATATATATATATATATGTATGTATGTATATGTGTGTGTGTGTCCCAAAATGTGTCAAACAAATTTAAATAATTATATTGCTCAACATGAAGCCTATTTATTTATCAAAATTAGAACAAGATATTCAAAGGGATGTAGATTTTATAACCGATTTCACAAAGCTTATGCTAGACATGCTGCAGCATGTTTGGCAGGAGCTGGGCTACCGACCTGATGCAGGCTGTGTCACAGGTGGTGTGCATGTTGAACATTTACAAAGCTTTGAATATCTTGTTTAAATTTTGATAAATATTTTATTTTATTATTCAACATGAAGCCCATTTAATCTTGTTCGTCTGGACAGTTTTTTGGGACTATCCTGTATATTAGTCATGGGCAGCAAGCCCTCTTTAATACACGTTTCATTGAACAAGACTGATAAGTTACTGTTGTTTAATTTTTCAATTTTTTTCTTCTTGTATGCATACACGCGCTTTCTTTTCTGGACTTATTGAATGTAAAAACTGTTCAAGAGCTTATTGATTCTGATTGCTTTTGGCTAAACTGTTAGCCAGTTTCAAGGAAGGTTTTGGTTTTACTACTATAATAAATGGTGCATAAATTGTATTGTAAACAGTACAAATGTTGCTAAAAGTAGCCATAGATAGGTTTGATTAAAGACTATAGACAAGGAGTTGGGAAAATAATTTTAGTTAACTTTCTATAAAAGTTTGAATGTTTATTATCTAACACCTTGAAAGATACTTCTGGACATCAAGATTAAGGAAAATATAGCTGTTTTTTTTTTTTTTTTAACTCAGAAGTATGTTAACATATGACAAAATACAACACTGAAATCTAAAGGTGCATTGAGATGGCTTTTGTGATGCATCTTTGGCTAAGCAGATTATTAAGATGAGGAATAAATTTGTTCGGAACAAAGAGTGCTGAACTGTTACATGATATCAGTCCTCCTATATTACAGAATGCTAAACAATCTCAAAAATGAAGAAGGGACTTGAAGCAAAAGAAATGTGGTTCTAGAAAAGATGCTGTGGATACCATGAACCAAACATGTGAGCAATGAAGTTTTAAGGAAAACAGAAACAAAAAATGCAACTTATACTTAGCATGAAGAAGAAACAGTTTTAATTTCTATAGTACATAAAGAGGAAAGATAGCTTGGAAAATTTGATACTCACAGGACAGATTGAATTCAAGAGAGATAGAGAAAAATAATGCATAACTTAGTGACTTTGAGTAAATTGATGTTTGAACAAGGTTTAATAGTAAAAAAAAAAAAAATACAAAATTTATTAAGAGCTATGAAGGATAGAAAATTGTGGAGAGCTATTATCACATATGTCCTGTAGAAATCTTGCATAATCAACATAAAAGTGAAATTCTTACTTTACTGGAGTAGGTATCGGTGGTGTCATTATCTCGTATCCAAGAATTTAATTTCTTTTTGGCTAATTGCTTCCTTGAGGATAATGGCATTGATGACAATTTGCTCTAAAAATACAGGTTCAGGATTAAAAGCTTTCAGTTTTACCAAAACCTGTTCCTGTCATCCATTCCCTAATGTCATTTGGCTTTGCAAGAATTGGTTGGAGGTGAAAGAAAATGAGAGTAGAAAAAAAAGTGTTGATGGTATAAATTTGTCTAAGGTGGACCTTGACTTGACCCACAAACATTATTTCATGACCTTCCTCTGTGGCACATATGGAATCCACTCAGAATCCAGTTATGAAACTGCAACAGACTGCCACTGTCTGTTATAATTTTGAGTGGCATCTTCTGTAGCATGTATGTCATGTGTAGCCCTCTTCGTCTTGAGATCTGTTGTAATCATCATCTGCCTGTTCCACTGTTGGGGTCTTTGGAGTTGGTCTTGCGTAGTCTGGGTCTTCTTTAACCTTGCCATCAAGGGTGGCCCTACCAGTAGCTTAGTACTCCTGACAAGCATCACTCTCAGAGTCATTGGACCACGCAAGCCACTCCACCACAATAAGGACTAACCATCAAAAGTACATGCATAAAAACATGCACACACATGATTTTACACTGAATATCAGAGTAAACAGTTCATTATCAGATTTACCACA